TGTACCATTGTATGTACACCTTTCTGTGTCGTGCAGTAAACTAATATTACAGCCCCAACGAGTTCAGTGAACTTGACAAAATCCTTTCTCCAAAATAAGGTTAAATTGCATTACGATATAGATATGTTTTCACTTTTTTATATTTTAAATATAATCTTTTAGGGTTGCATGCTGCACTGTTGCCGTTCAGATTTATTTCAAATATTCCTTGAAAACAAATAATACTGAAATGTCACCATGATTGGTTATGAAATTTAGACCAGGCAACATATTTGTTTTAACATGTAAATGGGAGACAATCAAAATGCAAAATCATACCGTATCATGTCAACTAATTTCGACCTAAAGCGTATATCACAAGAAGTACTCGAGGTAGTGTGCGTCTAATAATCGCGCCATAAACAGCACTCATCAACGGGTTACTTTTATTCATATCTGTCATTACAGGCAGAGATTTATATTTAACCAGAGAACTATATTATTAGCTGTCTGTCAATGTACATGTATTCATTATATCACGAGGCATGGCACGCAAGCCTAAGTTGTCGTCTCTAAGTAAACGCTCTATAGCCTTTCATCACGTGGCCCGCGTTTTACTAAATCAAAAGGGGGGATTCTCGCGTTTCCCTGCCGTGCAAATACACTCGCCGTGTGTACATTTAACTCCTAATATTTGGGTGTGTAATCACCAACAAATTATAGTGGAAAGCGCGGGCTCTTAAACGTTGCCCCAGGCCGTACAACAATCTAAGATTGCCGAGGCTTGGGCCAACGCGTAACCCAGCGGCTACTGACTAGTATAGTCGGATACCACGGCGCTACGAGGGTTCTCACTCGCTGGCTCAAGAGCGTAATAAACGTGTGGATCGCTCTGAATGACAAAGTACGTAGGGTTGAGGATTGCTCAACAAAACAGACGAATTATACAGGCTGCAATATTGCGTCTCACTCCTACAAAGTACAAGTGTAGGATTCTATCACAGTGCGTGCAATAAAAAAAAATGTCATTTTCCTAACGGTGTTGAAAAGGAGTGCTGTATAGCCATGATGTTTGAGCTGCCCCCGAACCAAAAGCCCGCGCACAAATCCCCTGCTATAATTTACTGCGCACCGGACTGGGATGAGTTTGTAAGCCCCACGACAAAATGAGAAAATGGAGGATGGGGAGGATTCTGTTTCCCTAACCCCTGGCCCGCTTGATACGCTGCGATGTTGACCTAGCCGCTGAAAGGGCCAGCCTTTAAGTTGCGATTGACCCACCTCGATGATACCTGACACTGGCCCGCCATTACTGCTGAATGGAGCGAATACGCTAATATGCAAGTCCCTGTTAAATAGCGCGGCAACGAACGTCTATACGAGGCTCGAGCCCCTACGCCCGGCCGCGCGCCAGCCGGGGCCGCGCTAATGCACTCGGATTCGTTCTTCCGAAACCCATGCACGTTTCTAAAAGCCTTTGCACGGGAATCGAAATTCTGGCGATAATAAGTAACCGGGTGTTATTTCTCAAATTAATAGCTTCTCGAATGTCCGATCTTGACTGGGATGTGTTTTCAGGCACATATTTTGGGCAGCCTCGACTCGATATTGTTATCGTGCAAATTGCTACATCAAGTTCTCAGGTCATCGTTTTATTCTTCTTATATTTTCGAGACAAAAAAACCCTTATACTTATTATTAATAATTGTACTCTTTGATCTTTGATCTTTTTTTTTATTTGGATAACTTCTCGAAACTCAGACAGACCCCGCTATACTCACTCGTTAATGTTTTTGAAAACTGGAGATTTGGAAAAGGAAATCCACTGTCTGAGATAAAAAAAAAAAAATCAAATGAGGGAAAAGAGCTTTAGGATTATCTGCCTGTTGTCTTAACGTTCGTGTTGTTGGTTCAAAATGTCACATTTGGAAATCAAATATTATGTTTAAACAATGGAAACGAAGGTGTAGTGTAGACTCTTGATTTCCCAACGGCTTTTATCATAATAATACGATTCTGCGTTTGGCAAATAAGTCCCATTTGTCAGTACTTTGGGGACTCGTACTTAATGGACGTACACAGACGGTTTCCCTGCATAATGTGCATGACTGGCCTTATTGTGTGACGAATTCCCATAGAGAAAGCTTTTTTTTATTCGCATCGTATACATGTAGGCTGCAATACGATTCGGCTTCCTAAAGGGAAATACGTGTGGCAGCTTGGCAAACGAAAACAAAATCACAGGAGATGTTTGGGGGAAGAATCGTGAGCACAAATAAGAACAATTGGACCAAGGAACACAACTGCGACATCGAAAAATGAAATAATAAAGCAGGTAGAATTGGCAAGATGACCTTGCATTGTTTATCCGGATTAGTAAGAAAAAGTCTCAGGGTTTTTATTTCTGGCAGAGATCCCGGACTTGCATTATCGCAAAATAGGTCCAAAGATCGCGTTGGAGAGCTGCACACTACACACGCTCTGCTCTGATGATAAAACTCTGGAAGCCATACCCGACACCACCGGGTACAAGGTCCATACCAAGGCCATTATCTATCAGCCGTGGGATTATGGCTTTTGCCCCGTACCTCCAACTTATTACAAAAAGGAACCCAATAAAAAAAACCCACTATAAATGGATTACTTATTAAATATTGGACCCGCCGGCGAACCATAAACGTAACAACCCGTATCATCCGTGAAGAAATATAGAGATGATGATAACATAAAAAAAATCAGTCGTCATTTTTCATGTCGATGCTTGCAGGTAGAGGAGGGGCGAAAATATATGCTGCCTGGCCATGTTGCAATGGTGGCGGTTGTGTCTTTAAAGCAAAATGCATGGGGTATGCGGTGATAGCGGGCGTTTATGAGGCGAGCCCGATACTTCAACCACCTGATTAAGAATTCCTTTCGCATGCATGTCCTTGTCCTGCGAAACACGGCGCGATCACACGTCCTTCCCTGGTTACCCTACACGAGAAATGGGTGCCTAGGTACACTCAGGAGATCTCGTGTGGTTGGAGATACATCATGAACCTACTTCACCTTTTTTGAAGTGAAACTTTATTAAAGCCGATAATATTCATAAGCAAACGGGTTTTTTATATTTCTACGGGTTCCTATTCAATCACACTGTCAAATAAAGTACCTGCAATTGTATTTTCCCGTAAACGGTAATAAGTAAAACAAGATACAATGTAGTCCTGCTCATAATGATAGTGTCCTTGGTTATAATAGAACTACTCTGGTTCAGTTGATACTTTTGTATTTTGAATTAGATGTTTGAAATTGTTCTTGAAATTGAACAAATTCTGTCACCAAAATGCTATTTATGTCATGCCCGAATCCATGTGTGTTACAATCTATCAGCAAGCTATTTCTTCCTCCAATTAAAATTGATAGACATGCGGTTGAAGTGATGCGAACGATCTCCAATATTAATTTAACAAGGAGCCGAAGAAAAAGTGAGAGAACGATCCAGCCGTATTTGCCGTGAACGCGACGACCGAAGACGGGAGGCTAGCCCGTAACGACGGCTCACTTCGCACGCACCACCATGGACGAAAATCGACTTGTAAATGTGATTCCAATGGCGAGTGATCTCAGGGCCGGTTTGTCTGGCTGTTGCTGTATCTCCTCGGGCGGGGAAGGGCAGAACGCTCGACCTAATCGGTTGGAGAGCCCATGGTAACCCGCTAGATTTCCTTCATCGACCGGTCCTTGGTCGATCCCAAGAACATATACTTTACAGTTTTACTTCAGGGCAGAAAAAGAGGGGAAAATCAACCAAGATAAGTAACAAAATTACGGGAGAATTTTTACATCTCAGTTGGTGGTCGCCTGTTGCTGTTGACGTCAAATATAATGACACATTGCCATAATCAATTTTGTTGCTGTAAACGAAAAGAAAGATCAGCAAAGGCCAATTAGACAAAGCAAGTGCCATATAGGAATTTCCGAAACCATGTTGAACAAAATGAAGAAGTAAAGATTGCTTTGATTTTATGACGAATTCTCATCTGGAACTTCAAGTTTGTCAGCAAAATTTACAGTGAGGGGATTTTGTTTAACGAAAGGAAGCGAAAAATGCACGTGCTTTTATTATTTTTTTTTTGCAGAGGAATTACCGATCCGGGTTTCTAAGAATTCTATAGACGATATGTTACCCGACAAAGGCACGTGATGAATGAGTCTAAAAAACATTAGGACATTTTTTTTGTTCCTTTGCAAATAAAAGGGATCAGCTAGGTTATCCCCCATACATGTATTTTAACGGAAAATGTGAATCTCTTTGTCAACATGTATTTCCAATCAATCATATTAACAACTGGAAAGGAACCAGTCATTCTGAATCACATCTGTATTCATGTTCTCTCTGGTGTTGTTAGGATTACTGGCAGATTTTTTCAACGATCAGTTACTTTGTCAGACCCGTTCTCGCATAAGAGGAAACAACTTCGTATGACTTCCAAAACTGACGTATTTTTGATAATTAACGGTGTGGTTTAAATTCTACGAGTTGAATCACGGTGTGTGAATCAGAAGCACTGGTGGTCACACTGTTTTTACTTCTTTCGAACTGTTTCCCCACAGGACTTTTGTTTTGCCAACACGGTCAATTGTGTGGAAACAAATTGGATATCCCCCTACCCATCTCCTTGGGAGCCCAAAAAACTCGCTTGTATGACGAGCCCCGGGCACGTAGGCAGTGGAAAGCGTAGCAATGGAACGTGTACAAGCTGGGCACAATGGAATCTGGAGGTGTGAAAAACCCATTAGGCAGGCGGAGCGGCCTGCATCACCGTGGCGCTTAGGTCAGCATAGCGGCCACGGATACATTACACACCGACTGTCGACTATTTTTCTTTCTTTTTTTCCCTGCCAACTAACCTGGCGCAGCACTTTATACAACAAAAAAGAACACTGTGCAACAGTTCAAGCGCAGTAAAAGACAATAAAATAAACACAGAACATAATAGTAAACAAGACCACTTATTTGAAATGAAAATTCAAGCAAAAAAGGTTCACTTGTGGAAACGAATTTATTCAGCGAACAGAAATGGAAACTTTTCCATCTGAGAGATTCCTAAAAGTTTGAAGATTTAGAGAGAAAACGGTAGGATTTGATATTCCCTAGCATTCACTTATTTCCTTTATACAATAAACATTATGTATACAAAAAAAAGATGAGTCCATAAAAAAAAAATGCCGCAGAATAGCTTTAGTTTTGATTGTCATATGAGCGATCGAAAAGACTCTCCGCTAAAGTGCCCGAGGCGTCTTTGATGACGAAGTGCAAACTAGCATGGTAAACTTTGGCCGGTGTTTCCTTCAAATATGATCAGCCAGCCGTGCTTAAACACAGACAATCTGCGTGTGTATTATACCTGTAAATGATTGTTTCTTTTCAGTATCACAAACACGGTTTGGCTAAAAACAAAACCGGCAAAAATTACGTAGCTATTACGAGCAAAAAGTGTATGAAAGATAGAGGTGTATTAAACAAACAAGGTCTTCACCCAAAACAGTCTCTAAGCCTATGTAAACTACTAGGAATATCGCAAATATTTATCATCAGTAAAACGATTTTTTTTCACATAATCACCGTTGTATTTTACAAGTGATTCAAACTGATTAATTATTTGGCACTTCAATCACTGAAATTTTCCATCACAAATAAAGATTTTTGTAAAACAAAATAAGAAAATAAGAAATACAACAACATAATATCGGCGACAGGACCCTATATAATAAAATCAAGGTATACCTTAAAACACAGTGAGGTCATCTCACCACCTGCTAACTATTGCAGCAATATACACAATAAAATATCAAGATTTGCAAAACTGCAGGCCTATTCCTTCTGGGTGAACAAATTACCCGGGATCAGCCGAGAGGCACATTCCAAACAAATACACATGTATCAAGGGTTTTAAAATCACATCAATTTTTTTTCCAAATTTACAATTCCTCCTGCTCTCAAAATTAAAAATTTCTGAACCTGAAAGTTAATTTTCTTCACAAATTTTTCTTTCAAATCGAATTCATTTTTGAAGAAAGCCCTTAAACTATTGACGCAATTCATCTATTTAACGACAGCACGTTCCTTCGCAGAGTTGTAAATGCCAAATCTACATAATTCACGAAAAACTTTTTTTAAGAAAGAAATTGTATTGATTTGCTATTTCATCCATATTTGTTAGAATTGCAGTCTTTTTTTATTTTCATACAAGATAGCATTGAACAGCAAAACGAGTCGCCCTATTTGCCGAATCAGCTGAATGGTTGCATTGTCTCTTGCATTCATTTAATGATTGTCATGGATTGCAAGTAAGAGGACATTGTGTGTGTTTTTGGCAACACTTTTGAACTTCGTCATTTTTTTCTCAATCACGCATGTTACTATATCAACAAGAACCTGCTTCGGCAAATAATAAGAGAAGCAAATAATAACATAGTGGCAACAATGTAAATTGACTCGACCTCTCACAATCGACTGTTTGAAGAAATCAGAATACTCAGTCATTCATGGTGATCCTTGGTCTTGTGATTTGTACACTAACCCTATCTAAAATATATTGACAAAACTCTAAGCCACTAGTAAAATATAACAATATCAAATAAATAAATATCAACGAATCATATCTGCCTTGAGTAAACGTTTGCACACATTGGCGCCGCACGTAATGTGTGTACACTAAGATTTTGGTATTCATTCACAATCAATATGGAGGAAAATTCCAAATCACAGTTTTAGATTACTTAACAACACTTGATTTTCCATGACATCAACATATTACATGTATAAGTCGTTAGTTCAAGTAAAACAACGTCACAATTAATGGTCACGTGATCGTCCGCCATACTATTGTAAAACATACAAAGGAATGTCCGAATATTTGAGTTTTTTTCTGTCGTTCAACAGGTAAGACAGAATGAACGTATGATTTGAACGTACCAGTTTGTTCAGTTTTCCTTGCACACTGTTGTTTACATGTTGTGGTTCGCTGTGGCTAGCTGGCTATATGTTGCCTCCCCACTGGTGGCAGGTATTGTGTAGTCCATAGATGGTTTGGCCATGGGGCTGGTCATGCTAGGCATTGAGTTATAGGGTGCGTACGCCATAGCCTCATACCCCTTCATGTCCAGTTTGTGTTCCGATGAAATGATACTGTTTATGGAGAAAGGGTGGGTGAAGGAGGGATGTTGGCCCCCTGGGCCAAACATGGCAGCTGGGTAGGTACCTGGCATGGCTGTCATGGATGTCATTGAGGCTGCAGGATGTGCGATAGGGCGGGTTGGGATACCGGCACTGGCCATGCTGGCTGGGGGAGGTGACAGGGAGGGGGGCTCCATCTTGTGCAAGTCGGGGTGGTGGCCTGGGTGATGATGGTGTTGTTGCTGTTGGTGATGGTGTTGCTCTTGGTGGTGATGATGTTGTTGGGGTGGTGAGGCCATCTGGTGGTGAGATTGCAGCGCGTTGTGAGTGTGTGACACGTCGGTTGTGTCATTGCTGACCGGCGTTGAGGCGTTGGACACCGTCACGCCATCTCGACCGTTTTCTCTGTGCTCGTCGTCGTCATCGTCCTGGTCTTCACCTTGTCTCAGGTTGTCCTTCTGCTCCTTCCTCAGCGACTCCCGCTTGGGACACTTGAATCGTTTCTGTCGCCGGAGGTAGCAGCCGTTCTCGAACATGTTTCCAGCGTCGGGATGGAGGGTCCAGAAGCTGCCCTTCCCCGGCCGGTCGGGGGTGCGCGGCACCTTGACGAAGCAGTCGTTGAAGGACAAACTGTGACGGATCGAGTTCTGCCATCGCTGCTGGTTTTGACGGTAGAAGGGGAAAAGGTCCATGATAAACTGGTAGATGTCGCTCAGAGTCACCATCTTCTGCGGTGACTGTTGGATGCCCATGGTGATGAGGGAGATGTACGAGTAGGGAGGCTTGGCATGGGTGTAGGACCGACGGTAGGTCTTCTCAGCGCGGACACGGTTCAGCGTGTCGGCTTGCGCCTGTGCCTGGGCCGCCAGTCTCATGCTCATCGCCGCCGAGTTGTTCATACCGTTCATACTGTTCATCGTTCCCATGCCGTTCATGCCGTTGAAGCCGGTCATCCCGGCCGCCGTCATGGAGTTCATGCCGCTCATGGAGTTCAGGTTAGTCGGCATGCTCCCCATACCGCCGTTCATACTCATGGTGGACATGGTGGACATTGAGCCCATGCCCCCAGCCGCGGCCGCCGCTGACATCCCGTTGGTGTAGGAGTTCATCTGGTGACTCATGGTATTCATGGGACTCATGGAGTTACTCATGGTGCTCATGGGTCCCATCGCTCCCATGGAATTCATGTTCTGGAGCGAGGGAGAGGTAGCTGGATGGTAGGCCGACTTGGGCGAGATCATGGCGCTGTTTGCCATGGGTTTCCCTCGACTCGTTGGGATATCCTCTCTCACTCTCTGTCCCGGTCTGTCTGTGTCTCTCAGTGGCGCAAGATACTCGAATCCGTGTACCGTACGCGTGTGCGTGTGTATTCAAACTGTCATCCCTCACTAGTGCAGGGGTGAGGATTATATGCGCCAGGCTGTGGAGCGAAGTGACCTATGTAAATACGTACAACGTAGGCTAATTAATAGGCCACGCCCCCTGGTCGAGCGCACGCAAATCATCCACACCAATCCATTCGCTGCTGACAAATTGGCCTAGCGGACCACCCATTTATAGACGTTTTTTATTGAACCGCTACAAGTGTCAATCACTAAGAAACAGCCAAACACACCGAACAACAGAACTTCAGCCACACACGATATTCATCCCGTGTACCAAATCTGCGCTCACCAAAATGAGCCCGACTCGCTCGCACCGTGTCAAATGCACCCATGGAAAAACCACTATTGTTATCATGATTATCGTACGGGTTAGGTTTTTGTATTTTTATTATTATTTCCTCAAAACGGTGACATGGCAGAAAATCAAGGGAAGAATAGAAATCGGCTAGTGCAAAAGGGTACACGGCCACGCCTGAGCGAGCAAGCGACGTGACAAGTTGTATAGGGAAACTATCCATAGGCGACGGCTCAGTCCAACCATGACGTCATGCCTATTGTTGGTATGATTATCAACCTGGTGCAATGTTCAGACACGTACCACAATAAGGAGAAAAGGGCAATGTTCAATAGGTACACATGTACACAGTAAGCAATAACATACAGCCAAGGTTTCTCTGACTAGTCTTGAATTGGGAAAAATATCCCTGGTCCGTGGTTAGAATTGCACCATTAGTTCATGAAACCCTCCCCGGTTCTTCGAGCCAAAAGCCCGGTATATAATAGGCCACTCTCCACCTCACCTTTCTTCTCTTGTTACCTGCTTTCTGTTGGTCACGCAGGCCAATTTGTCAGCGGCCACAACACCTAATTAAAGCCGTCAGCTTCAACCTTTTCACCATGGAACTTTCTTTAGAAGGACCCGGCCGACAATGTGGTCGCACCTAGGTGTGAAAATTTCAGCCTCTTATTTCAACGGTCGGCGTGTCTACTAAAGAGATCGTTTAATAAGCAATAGCTCAACTGTGCTGAAGTCGAACACTAAAGGTTCGGAGAACTGAGTGAATTCTATAGCTTTTGGATGTTCTTTTTAAATCCACATAACACGTCTGCTTCTCCGAATGTACATAGTTGAGAATTAAACCCGAACAGAAGCAAATTGGCCTTGTTATGCGTTATTGAGTCTTCATGAACAAAATTGATATTAATTCACCTTTTTATTGTACAATCCAAAAAGTTAATTTGCAAACCCTCGCCATCTCGTCATGTCTAAATTTGCTCGCAGATATTTGATTTATTTGGTTTGGTGTCGGAGAAACATTCGCCTTGTGTCAAAAGTGCCATTCGACAAGTCGAGGATTTTCGCATAAAATATTCCCGAGTGTCCTGTCAATCATCCGGGTCCTCTCGAATCGTTATCGTCACCTCATGTTTATTTATGAGGGGCGAGGCAACGGACTGACGGAGACGGGCACGCCGACTTGGACGTGCCGAGCGAGGTCCATGAAAACCGCCCTCTTTGTCTAAAGGCAGCAGGAATATTGAGGATGGCAATCAGGGTCGTGAGTGAGGAGGATGCGCCATAAGAGCACACTACAGGAATCGTCATCTACGATTCCCGTAAACACTGCTGTATCCAACAATGTGATTATTTAGTGTGAATGGCGGTTACAACACTTCGTTTTTGTTAACCTTCTAGCAAAAAAATTTCTCTGCGATTAGTTTTAAAATGACAATTTAAATAAAGAAGTGTTGCAGTAAAAGGAAAAATTAAGTTTGCTTATTTACAAGGACTGCCTTGAATTGATACACATAAATACTGTCTATCTATTAGTTAATCAGATTCAAATATCAGTTTTTACCTCGAGAAATATAGTTTGCATATCAAGAGATCCAAATGGTTTTCAGCTTTGAGCAAAATATTGTCATTTTGTGAGGTTTAAAAACCCTTGAAGTCCTACATTTTGCATACGTGCACTGTCGACATGGCAGCAACTTCCAACGACTGTGTATGTAACCCAACAGCAAAGAGAAAGTCTCACTATGGGTCGACTCAGAATTGATTCTTTCCCTTCTTTCTCAATGCCCCTACAGTGCCCAACTATAGCTGCCTGTAAGAAGGGCACTTTGTTGGGAGGTTAGCCGTGCATTTAATTGAACAAAAAGAGCATTCACCGGTATTTAGCTGTGAAAGCATGCCGACGGAAGGTTTCCAACGCGGGGCGCATGAAGCCAAATCAACCCCGTTCGCCTGGCCGGCTTTTGTGGTGAGCTGAGGGGTGAAATGACGGGTTTTCTTTTCTCGAGTTTGTTCCCGGAGGGTGCGCAAAGCAGCCTGTCAATGCATTACACATTCTTACAATGCAGTGGAACCAGACAAGTGGTAAATTCTACGCTCTGTTGCTGCTTTTTTTCCTCGCTTTTTTTGCCCATTCACAGTTTCAATGTAGTGCTTTGAGGCACACAGTTGCCTTGCAAACGCCTAGCTTATTTATGGAGGAAGTGTATTGTGTACCGTTTGTCGTGTAGTCGTGTAGTGCAGTTACAAGGGGTCACAGAAACAAGTTGGTTAAAAATATATCGATCTCCTTTCATCTCTGGTCATCCATTTTGAATTAAAAATGCGCAGTGGGCGATTTCAATTTTTTTTAAGGAAAACTTTCAAAAAGGCTTAAGCAAATTCCGTCACCCACTGATTTGCACATATTTCTGTATACATTACCAGTTAACTATGGGCTTTGCTGACCGAAAATGCAATTATGGTAGCGACATGACGTTACTCTTGAAAATTATTACGAAGTCTGTATCTAACTTAAAACTTTCGTCAAATCAGGGACTTCCCATTAAACGTTAGTGGCTCAGTTGTGACGGTATAAACTGCACAGATTGATTCAACGTTTGTTTGGTACAATGGTGACAAGTAAATGAAACATGTTGCTCGCATAGTGCGTGTCCCATGCCGTACAGGGCCTTGCATGTCCCTCAGTAGCGAATCTAGGGGTTGGGAGCCACTGACTGATGTCAAATGATGCCAAAATTTATTTTTAAAAAGGAATGCTAAAGTTTCTAAATTTATTTTCAAATTTGCTTTTTCAGGAGAATTCAGGAGAAAGCATCGTAGAATTGAATTTTCCAGGAGGCATGCCCCTGGAACCCCTATAGCAGGCCGTGACTTTGGCATTCCTTCACTCACCCCCCCCCCCCCCCTTCATATCAACCCCCCCCCTTTCCTGAAAGCTAGATCCGCCCCTGTCCATGTGTCTTAACTTGGGTCTATAGAGATGCTGTAAGAAAAGAACTGTGCTATTAAAAAAACACGTTACCAGCCAGAGATCCATGTTATGGTCGGTTATCCATCTTTTTTGCCTAAACACATACGACTGTGCAAAGCAAAAATTATTGCTTGAAATGAAAGCTTAATTAAAATATAGCCCTGTTAAATAGCTGATTCACACCCACCAAGTAGTAACAACTGATCCCTCAGATCCAAGCAGTCGGCCTCAGTGACTAAATCAAAGTCTCCTTCTGCCGATGATCCTTCGCACCAATCGAAGACAGCATTTTGTATCGACGTCCTCATGATAGTTTGAAGAAAGTTATCATTGATACACATCTCGAAAGACGCTCGAGTATTTAGAGAGAAGAGTTAAATTCTGCCCCTCCCTCTCTACAATAACCAAATCTGTAACTAAATCACTTCTATTTATTATATCCAATACATTAGTTAGAGACTGTTTCGACAAGCAAGAAGAAAACGTAAAAACGGATCATCTGCCCCACTATGGTATACAGCGGGGGGGGGGGGGGTGCATACCTATGTTCCCCAATACCGATGTTCCCCCACATCCCTACCAATATAACCCTAACCATAGCCCTAACCCTAACCCTAATCCTAAGGATTTGGTGGAACATCGGTAGTGGGGAACATCAGTAGTGGGGAACATCGGGTAGATCCCCAGCAGGGTATCGAAGCCCGTATAGTGCAGCTGCAATCAGACGGACAGTTCTTGTCACAAACACGGCGTATTCTAAAACCCAAGCCAACTTTAATTTAAATCAGATTCTAATTAAAAGTCCACAGTGAAAACTGTCGGCAATAGACGTAAACGCGAATATGTACACGTTATGCCACCAAAAAGATTATGATTGCTTGTTCATTATACCAGTTTCCTCTCTCCGCTTTTCGAATTTCCGTCGGCCGGAAGATTTCAGCTCTTTTCAAAATCTCTAGCTCTGTTTACATTTTTTTCCCTTTATGGGATATTATGGAACCCCTCCTGAAATCAAGACAAGGGGAATCCTTTCATTAACAGTTCAATGTGTGTGGCACAAAACGTCTTTGGTTGTCGGATAATAGCTTTGGTACAAAAATGTCCAATATAAAGAGACCGATATTTTCACATCCTCTGAACACCAAAATCACATGGCATTAGGCTCTGATAAGACATATTATTGTCCGTATAGAGCAGCCAATTTAGCGTATTATCTTTACAGGTCCATAAAATGTTCCGTGGTAGAGGGTCTTTTTAGGCGTTAAACAAGGCGTGAATGATTCCCACCTCTGTTCTATTCTTCCTATACGGAGAAGCCGCTTTGAAGCTTGCCGGTCGATCAAAGAGGTATCAATGATCCACCGATGCTTTTATGGATTAATCGGCGAGTTCATTGTACCTCGTGACGAGTCACATGGCTAGAGACTTCATACCTGTTGGGGGCGCGCGCCTATTGAGTCTTCCATATCATGTTGTTTCCCCACAGCACACCGAACACTGTAACATCTACATACACATGTGCCCCTTGTTTTGAAGAAAAATGTTGAGATTCATCGATTAAGTGCAAATTAAAACAAAATCTGATAGACATGATCTCGTGTCGGAAAGATCGTTTTGTTTGCATGGATTGTCACATATATCTTGGGCATTTTTGGTTTATGAGAAATTTTGGGGTAAATTTAAGGTAACATTTGGTATCGCTAAAAAACTGCAGGAACTTATTAGTTGTCACTCTTTTATTTTCGCCGTGGCTGTGTTGAGTTTTAGTTGTTTTGCATTTTCAATGACTATTCTAGTTAAATTGATGTGACCGTACGCGTCTCACAAAAGACGGCTCAGTATTACGTTTTGGCTGTGCTGTCGTCGCAGGTAAAATTAAAATCTTTAAATTGAAAACCTTTAATCTTTTTTCATGTCATAAAGCGAGCTGAACGTTCTTTTTGTGTCCATTTTCGATTTTCATCCTTCTGTTTGTCCTTGAGATGGTGGATTCCATAGGGCGCAACTGCTCGGTATAGAACTGGTCAGTCCGGATACCGTCGGCGAT